TTTCTTTTAAGCGATATTGGTACATGCTCTTTCTTAGCTTTATTATTGCGTTCATTCGCAACATGTTCTCTCTTAATCTTAAATGTGTTGACCAATTCAGCACTTAAGCGGTATTGCATATCAACATCCAGATTCTTTAATGGACTTTGAGCTTTGTTTGGATTTGAACCCTTTTTCTTTAGTACTGCTGATTGATTCATTCCTGTCACTTTGTTTTAATCTCTTTGATTTATTTTCTTGTAGTAAGCAAACCTACAAAATAATAATCAGAAAAATTAACTGGCCAAAATTTTCTATATGCAGGCAGTAATAGAAGAGCTCAACTCTTACCAGAATTTCCAGCACTGTATTATGGTAGATTGCAGCAGCTGAGTTTAGTGCAAGCTATAACCTACTATATGTATTGTAAATTGATTATATAACATGTACACTAATAGGAGAATAAGAAATGTTAAAATGCAGAGCATTCAGTCACAAAGATGCTAGTGAAGAGTGTTCTGTTTCAAATACAAACATATTGGTCCCAAATGTTCCTGTTACCAAAGAAGATCATTACTATGGTTATAACAGTGAGTAGAACTTTCTCATGGAAGGGAGCAATGACTGTAAGCCCAAGACGGCAGGGGGTTTGAATGTGATTGATATACCTACATGGAACAAGGCAGCAAGGGGTCTGAATGTGATTGATATACCTACCAGTGATGCCACAACACCCTAAAGTCATATGGAGTAAATTGTTGCTGGTTCAAGGTTAGATCCCAAGGCAGCAGTTCATATTATGGTTGGCTTTACATAGAAAACTGTCAATAGTGGATAGAGTGCAGAAATGGTGAAATAATAGGTTGTGAGTCATTCATTTGCTTATTTACAAATACCATCAACAAAAATGTTTAAGACACAACTAGAATTTAAATATATATTTTTGACAAGTAGCTTGAACATAGAACATTGATTGCAGCCCCATGTTTCTAGCCTAGATGCATATGCTTAATTTAACTTGCATCCGGAACTAGTTTTTCCTCAATACATACAGGACAAACATTTTTCATCACTGTAGCCATTGCTAAGGGCTCATCTATGATGAAATTAGTAAGCAAGTAGTATTAGTGATATATTTGATAGTAAATGATACCTCATTCGTCTTCGAGTCAGTAGCAATGTAACCTTCAGATACAGATAAGCCAACAAAGTTCTGAAATGCAAGAATACTTTTATCAGAAGCAAAGGACATTCAACCATAATAATGTTCTATCTTATTCTACTATCTTTATCCCACACCAATCACTCAACAATAAGCCACTGCAATTTACTAGCTCTATACACACCTCCTCTCACTCTCAGCACCAAAAAGAGGATTCCTATAGAGCATCCAGGAAAAAGCAGATTCAATCGGACGACGAATTCTTACGTGGTCCAAGGGCCAACAAGAAACAACAATAACCAATACAACATCTTTTCCAGGTTAATACCAATAACAACAGAGAACTAACTTGACAACACCAAATAGTTTGATAACTGTACCAGAAATACTACAGAGCTCACTGTTCAGCCTCTAATGTCCACTACCTGATAATAACAGGAAACAAATAAGTATATAAATAACAACAACAATTCATATTTACATGTCATAAATTAGTTTGATAACTGTACCAGTAATAGCGCAGAGATTACTAACAAATAAAACAATAGTAAGCTAGAAGTACAGGTTCCTCAAAATAATAATCAGATAGAAGCCAACATAAATTACTTAACCAAACAACAATTGGGCGCATGAAAAAAGCCAACAAAATACTTACAGATTGTAGCAATCTAATCTTCAATTCCACTTATTAGATATCTTAATGTGTTTGTACCAAAAGAACAATTAAATAACAAAACAGTAAGTGAGCACTATATGATCATCACAAAAATAATGAAACTCATGGTGCATCATCTTCAAACTCTTCTTCAGACTCATCTTCAAGCTCATCTTCAGACTCATCTTCATACTCATTTTCAAACTCATCTTCATACTCATTTTCAGTCTCGTCTTCAAACTCATCTGCAGACTCATCTTCCAATTCCTCTTCATACTCGACTTCAAGTTGTTGAGTAACAAATTCTTCCGAAGGCACATCAATAATTGTTTCTGGTACATCAGTCCTTGTTAAAAGAACTTCACTATTATCTTTTGGTATAGATGGTTCCATCAAATGTTCAGATGGCTCATTTTCATAATTTTGTGGGAGATTAGATTCAACTTGATCACTCATGTTAAACAAGTCTCTCGGAACAGTCTTTATAACATAATGTCTATCTTGATCATATGGATCTTGCACATAGAAGCATTGGTGTACTTGAGATCCAAGCACAAAAGGCTCTTCCTGAGAGCATCTCTTGTTAAAATAGACATAAGTAAGGCCATAACTATCATTTTCAACCTCATACCAATCGCACTTAAATAGAACAACCTTAAAATGGCAGTAATAGTCTAACTCAACAATATCAACTATTCTACCATAATAAGTCAAATCTGCAGCAATCAGATTTTTATCCTTCGAGCTTGCAAAACTTGTAGTTGAGGCAACTAGTGTAACACCACTATTTTGTGTTTTACGCCTTGCATCACGCTGCCTAACATGAAATCTATATCTATTGATGAGATACCCAGAATATCTTTTTGCAACAGAATTTGGTCCTCTAGACAATTGTTTTATCAAATCAGGCACATCCTTTTGCAAAGCATGAGTTTCAAACTATTGAGAGAAGTTTTGACAATGACTCTTAGTCTTGCTCCATTTAGATCTTCGTGGCTGATTATTAACCTTTTGCTCATGCTCTCTACACAATATGTACTTTTTTTTGTTAAAGAAATAAATAAAATAATTTAAAAATTAATTATACAAAAAGAATATTATATTCAAATTAAGGTACCTAATATATTCTTGAACCTCGTCACAATTTCCCAATAAGTATGCATGTGCTTGACTTAGTGACTTGTTATCTAAAATGAGTGGATCGGTTTTCTTTGCTCCTAAAGGAACTCCTTTGTTAGGAAACAAACTCACAGTTTCTGCATCACTTGGGTCACATTCATCATTATTTCGGGCTCTTTTGTTAAATCTGGTATGCACACCCCGATGTAGATATTTGGAGAATAAATTCATACAATCTATTCCCACTCATGTCTCTGCTATGCAACCTTCTGGATAATGTATGTTTCGGATGTATGATTTGAATGTACCCATTTCTTTTTATGTGGAATACATCCATCGATTTTGAACTGGCCTCCTAATCTCACTTCATTCGCTAAATGAATAGGCAAATGAATCATTATATCAAAAAATGTAGGAGGAAAAATTCGCTCCAATTGATTTATTGTTTCTATGATCTCCACTTCTAAGCAATCCAGTTTCTCCAATGTGATTACTTTTTGACACAATCGACGAAAGAAGGAACTAAGACGAATCAAAGGAATAGCCACATGATCAGGAAGAATGCTTTTAATTGGTATTGGAAGCAAGTAATGTAACATGAAATGAGCATCATGGGTTTTATAACAAGACAATTTTCTTTCATCCAATTGCACACACCTGGATATATTGGAGGCACTACCATCAAGTAGCTTGGCTGTCTTTAAAACTCCACAAAAAACTGATTTCTCTCCATTTGTCATTGAGAAGCACGCTTTTGCAAACTTTGTTCTCTTATTATCTTCTGTATCTTTTGGATGAAGGTTCTTTCTAATTCCCATATCTTTTAAATCATACCGGGCTTTTGCATGATCCTTTGTTTTGCTTGAAATATCCAAAAGAGTTTCAAGTATGCTATCAACTATGTTCTTCTCTATGTGCATTACATCAAGGTTATGGCGTAACAAGTTGTGCTTCCAATAAGGTAATTCAAAAAAGATTGACCTTTTTTTCCATGGGACATTATTTGATCTCTTTCTCTTCTTTCCAAATACATTTTCAAAATCTTGTAAGCTATTAAACACATCAGTACCCTTTAATAAATGTGGAGGAGGCCTAAATTCAGTTTTTCCATTGAAAGATCTTTTGTTAGATCTCCATGGATGATCCATGGGTAGAAAAACACGATGATCCATATAGCACATTTTTCGACTATGTTTAAGATAGCGAGAATTAGTGCCATGTTACAACAAGGGCAAGCAAACTTACCTTTTGTACTCCATCCAGATAACATAGCATATGCAGGAAAGTCATTGATTGTCCACATAAGAGCTGCTCGCATTTGAAAAGTTTGATTTCTTGAAGCATCATATGTTTCAACCCCAGAATCCCACAATAATTTTAACTCATCTATCAATGGTTGCAAGTAAATATCAATGTCATTTCCAGGAGATCGCGGCCCAGGTATAAGTAAAGAAAGTATACAATACTCATATTTCATGCACATCCAAGGCGGCAAATTATACACTATCAACATAACTGGCCAGGTGCTATGTGATATACTCATAGCCCGAAATGGATTGAACCCATCACTTGACAAGCCAAGTCTCACATTGCGAGAATCTAGTGCGAAATCTGGATGCAACCTATCAAAATCTTTCCATGCTAGACCATCAGCGGGATGCCTTAACTTTCCATCTTTAGAACGCTCCTCGTCATGCCACCTCAAAGAATCTGCCGTCTTTGAGCACATAAATAGCCTTTTGAGTCGAGGAATTAATGGAAAATGTCTCAATGTCTTTGCTGAAACTTGATGTTGTTTTTTTGAAGGCTCAAGCTCACTATCAACTTCAGGAGATTTAATATATTGTGAAGCTCCACAAGTATGACAAAATTCATCATCCTTATGATCATTCCTGAGCAACATGCAATCATTGGAACATGCATCATTTTTCTCATAATCAAGACCAAGATTCTTAATCATAGACTTGGCTTTATTATAAGACGGAGGAATGTTCAACTCGGGCATCGCCTCTTTTAATAACTCTAAAAGAGAAGTGAATGATTCATTGCTCCATCCATGTAGACACTTTAATAAATATAAACGAAGTGTGAATGATAATTTAGAGAATCCTGTACAACCAAGATATAATTCTTGGCTTGCCTCATCAACTAAGTTATAGAATTTCTTGGCATCTTCATTTGGACTATCATAAACTCCTTCAGCCGGTGCAACATCTCTAAATTGATCATTCAACAACCCATCAATATCATCACGCGAGTAATCCATATCATCGTCAACATTCAACTTGATATCCCATTCCCCATGATTTATCCATCTAGTATAACCTTTGACAAATCCATAGCATATTAGATGATCATACACTACATTCCTTCGAGTCCAGCGAATATTACAACATTTTGCACGTGGACACTGAATTTCCTCTCCTATTGGATCTCCATAAGAGTAAGCAAAATCTAGAAATGATTCAACACCATCAATATACTCTTTGCTATACCTTGCTAAATTCATCCAATCCTTCGATGGGATATTTGAATTCCTAGACGATCAAGATATTAATATTTAATCTTTCAATAACAATCATTAAATCATTAACTACTTTACAAACACGTTTTAAAAGTCACGAGTAAGTTATCAAAATCATGTGTTATGAGATGATAAAAGTTTCTTACCTAGTCATGGCTCTTGTGCTATGCCAAATCAAACCTTGAATCCTCCACAAATGATTTTGAATGTTGATTATACTTCCAAGGAAAAATAAGTACAATTAATAGGATAGACACAATTAAGAAAGAAAATAAATAAATGGAATTCAAATGATTAAAAGTTAAAGTTCTGTGAGTGAATTCAAATACTCATCACCAAATTCGTTTTGCACGGTTTACATAGGAAACTCATCAGTTATACAATTTAGTGAAATGAATGCTCAAAACTTCAATTTCCTTAATTTTGTAGCTCATGCTACTTTCCTTTATTTAATTTACTTCCAAGTGTTATCTAACCACATAAAATTAACAACCTTAGTCAAGTAGAAGTTTTAACAAAATAAAAAAAAGGTTGACAATCAAACCATCCTAAGAATAGTACAAATCATAGGGAATTCTACATATTCAAGAAAAACAGAACATAGTCCTATGAATGGTCAAGCTTTAGCTGACTTTCACCGTCTCTCTAACTCTAAGGAATTTAAATGAACTAATCAAGATTAAGAAATTCTATCCAGAAGCAGGTTCAAGTTGTAATCAAGTGTTGCAAATTGCAGATTTGCGGATTTGCAGATTTATAGATTTATAGATTTGCAAATTTCAAATTACAGATTTATAGTAGATTGTAGATTTACGATTGTAGATTTGCAGATTTATAGCAGATTGCAGTTGCCATATCCAACTACAAGTCCACTTCAGGACAAAGAACAGGGGCAGCAGGAGAAATATGCAAACATACTCTAATGCAGACCATGTAAATCAGGATAGCAGTTGCACCAAACAAAGCATGGAAAAAGAGGAAACTCAACTCCAACAACACCAAGACACTCTACTGCAGACATGTAAGTCTCATAACTATGCTTCTAGTCAAGTTGGTAACACTAATTCTGAAACTCAGGTTGTAAATGAGCAAGTCAGCCAAAATGCTTCACAAAGCAATATGAGAAATTCTCAAGTGAAGCTCCTGTGATAATCAGCCTATTTATACTTATTTTGTGATTAATGCTACATACATATATCCATCATCCTAACCTTTTAACATAAATGTTTTAGCAAATACGAGTAGTAAAAATGTAAACAGAACTTAAGAGTAAGCGAGTTCCATAAGAGGTTGTTTCATAATCAACAAAGTCTAAACTTCCAGGAGACACTTCCTAACTTCTTTCTCCTTCAGCTTTTCCTAACTGACATACACCCCATCCGTAAGAGTTACCCATTACCCTCTAGAATTAGTCGAGATACACACTAGCTAGCCCAAACTCCACGACTATCAAGAAAATGACCCTTTAACATTTCCTCTAATAAAAGTACTCATACACAAATCCCTAATACCAAAACTAGAGCAAAATAGCATAATATAAACAAATTAAGACTCCCAAAAATCAACAAAAATCGTATCAATAACACAAGAATATCAAAACCCTAAGCTAAAATTTAGACTTTCAAAGATACACAAGAATATCAAAACCCTAAAGTTAAAATTTAGAATTTCAAAGATAGAATTTCATACCTGATAAACCCTATTCCAACAACTCTAAAGCTTAAAGACGTGAGGCGTGTTCATTTGCGAAGCATTTTGTTCATCTGTGAAATCTGACAGAAAAGCTATTTAACAAGGAATCTGTGTATGAGTACGTACTTCAGCTTTTTAACAGTTCTTCAGCTCTTCAATCTTCAACAAGGAATCTGTGATCAAGTTTGCCAGAAATTTATGAGGAAAATCGTATTGTTCTTCAGTTCTAATTCTGGTTCTTCAAGGAGTGTGAAAAAGGAACAATTTCACTCTTATAATGACTCATTTCACAACAGTTTTTGCATAAATGATTCATTTGTTCCAAGCAACCTCAAGTCATTTACCTACAATAACTGAAAAATGCAACTAGAAACTTCTGAGCTGATAGTCTTCTTGGCGAATGAGGTTTTGGTTACGTCTTTAAAGGATGGATAAATGAGAATACTCGTAAACCAAGAAGTGGTATGGTTGTAGCTGTCAAGAAACTTAAGCCCGAAAGCTTCCAAGGGCATAGAGAATGGCTTGTATGTCGTAAAGAACATAAACTGTAACTGTCCAGGTCTAATTGCCAAGGTATTGTCTGCTTTGGACCCAACTGAAAGTTGAATTCCTAACTCCGCCTTTTATGATCACTAAACTTACCCTCACACTTTCTTCTTCCTATAGAACTCTACAGTAGAACATGGTTTGTTAACTGGTCTTCTTATGTTCAATCCCTTTCTCATTTCCAATATAGAAACTACAATCTTAAACAAAATTAATAGTACGACATAATTTTCAAAAGCAAAAAAGTTTGCATCATTTGTAAGTGCACTGAAATGAGGTATAGAAGAAATCATCACAAAGGTGATAAATTTGAGGCTTTCTTTGACCATAGTCACAATATCCAATCAAGGCCGTAGCCACATTAATCGCATGGTGATCACTCAAACACCCTTAGAAAATAATATTGTGTATATAGGTCAAAAACAACTTTTCAGATATATATCCTAAAAGTTTTGAACACCCTTAAGAAAAAGTCGTAGCTTCGACATTGTATCCAACAGTTGCAAGCACATATTACCTTAAAAGGAAGTCAATTGAGTCTAAAACTACAATAAGAAAGTAAAATATGGAAGATATAATAGATCAAGAAACCAAATGCCCATAAGATCTACTACAAACTACATCTCAAATTCCCAAAGTAATCTAGCAAAACACCACACAGAGATACTCACATTGTGCAAACCAATCATTCAGATCAGGATTTTGCAATTCTAGAAACATAAAACACGCTTCATTCCAAAATCAAAATACATATACTCACTATAAAATTCCCAAAGAATACAACACATCAGATAAGAATGACTCACCAAAACAAAAACACATTGATTCAAATATAAACAACCCATTCTTGACAAGTTTCAGCTATACTTTCAATGAAAACAGTAAACAAAATTTCAGCCGAGACAGAGAAGTTTCAGCTAAACAACCATTGATTCTACCTAATTCTAACATGAAAAACATTGAGATATAACTAAGAATGTTTAATCAGTAAGCACAGAACAACAATGGTATGTTCAGAGTTAGCTTGGAGAGAGAATCGTGTTCTTCAAAATGACAGAAATTCTCAAGTGAAGAATCAACCCTAATCAGCCCATTTATACTTATTTAGTGATTAATTCTCATGGTAATACAACTACAAGCTAGACTCCCAATAATCAACGAAAATCGAATCAACAACACAAAAATATCAAAACCCTAAGCTAAAATTTAGACTTTCAAAGATACAGAAGAATATCAAAACCCTAAAGCTAAAATTTAAACTTTCAAAGATAGAATTTCTTACTTGATAAACCCATTCCAACAACCCTAAAGATTTAAGACGTGAGGCGTGTTCATCTGTGAACCATTTTGTTCAATTTTCAACAATAAAATCTGACGGAACAACTCTTCAACAAGGAATCTGTGAGGAAAATCATGTTCTTCAGCTCTTCAATCTTCAACAAGGAATCTATGAGGAAAGTTTCACAGAAATCTGTAAGGGAAATCTATCGTTCTTCAGTTTTTCAGACTTGAAGAAAAACCGTATTGTGTTCATGTGTTGCAAAGTGCAATTTTTCCTGATTTGGGGAAAATAAGTTTTAATGATTTATAAATTATTATTTTTACACAATAAAAATTGGAGGGAGAACAAGTTTTAATGTTAAAAATGTTGGAGGGAATATAATACTTGTGAAAATATTAAGGCCACAATTGTAATGTGTTGTTTTTACAATTATAAAAATAGGACACTTTAAAAGTGTGGCCATATATGTAAATAGTTGTTGCCAATTATATCATATAATAACGCTTATAAAGTGTAGCTTATACCATTAAAGAGTACACTTTACAAGTGTTGCCAATATTATCGTAGCTAAAAGTTAAAAACTTGGGCTACGCTTTAAAAGCGTCCCCAAAAGTATTTTAGGCAACACTTTGAAAGCGTTGTCCAGAATTAGTGTGGCCGTAGGCCTAAAATGTTGTAGTGTTAGTAGGCGTTTGGCCATGCAATACCATATCACGATATGGTATCGTGAGATGGAATCAGCGTTTGAACATGTGATTTTACGCTGATTCCATCTCATGATTCCATATCATGAGAGGTGATACCATGTTCTCCAAAAACCATGATATGGAATTACATTGTGATTCCATATCATGATTTGAGATATTTTAATACAATAATTGATCCATTAGTTTATATTTTGTTAAAACAACCCCATATTTATATCTACTAACCATTTGTTTCAGGTGTAAATAAAATTTATAATCACATCATTACTTTTTAAAATTTATTATTCTCACCGACATAAAATTTATTATTCTCACCAACATATAGTCACTTTAACTCACACCTCATGATTGTGAAACTTTTCAACATTCACTTGAAACAATTAACCGGCATGTTAAAATAGTTGCCGAGGTTATTAGTAAGATAGCACCAACATTTATACAACAAAAAAATATGACTAGTGTACATTCCAAAATTCGACATAATACTCGATTTTGGCCTTGGTTTAAGGTAAAATTTCAATCACATTAATAAATTTATTTTATGGCCTTAATAAGTGCACATTTATATTTTATGTGTAAGTTATTAATATTTAATTACATATTTCCGCCACATGGTAACTTTAAATTACATCCTTAAAATAAATATTATTTATTTACACAAAACTGTCTCATTTACGTCGCATATGCTTTTAGTAATTCTTTATAAAATGTTTTTTGGTAGATAAATATTATGTTGTTGATGTTGGTTTCCGAAACACACGAATTTTTAGTTCCATAGAAAGGACTACGCTATCATTTGCAAGATTATCGAGGAAGTGAAAGAGAGCCTCAAAATGCCAAAGAACTATTTAATTATAGGCATTCATCTCTGCGCAATGTGATTGAACGGACTTTTGGAGCTTGGAAAAATAGATTTAGAATACTGAAACAAGGCATGAACCATTATGATATTGATACACAAGTGAAAATTGCATA